AATCACTCTGGACAAGAATTAAGTGCATAAAGGAAGAAAAGGGATTTACATGATAACCTGTCCGTATCTGTATTGCAAACCATAATGCCAAAGGGGAAGGGAGTGAGGGAAGGAGAGAGAGAGAGAGAGAGAGAGAGAGAGAGAGAGAGAGAGAGAGAGAGAGAGAGAGAGAGAAACAGAAAGGGACAGAGACAGAGAGCAGGGGGGTCACAGTTGTGGGAGGGAAACTGAGGACATTGGTGATGAGAAATGTACACTGGTGAAGGAATGGGTATGACTGAAACCTAATCATGAACAACTTTGTAACTGTGTATCTCATGGTGATTCAGTTTTTAGAAGAAATGTATGGGCAGCCAGGGAAAGTACTCCCAAACCAGCTCTCACTCAGGCTTCTTCCTTACACACTGCGGTTTCCTTACACACTGAGGTTTCCATCCTGGGGAGTCCAGATCTCCATACACTGAAGCAGTTCTGAATTTCAGGCAGAAGGGCCAGCATTCCGTGGTTTTAGAAGGAACACTCAGTTCATAAGTGCTCTATTTCAGGAGAAATTAAAGGGCAGATATCTCAACTGATGATGCTCTCTGGGTGCATTCAACTTCTCTCTTATGTAGTTATCACGCCACAGAAGTACCTTTGGATTGAGAATTTACGGTGACAAGCAAATGATCTTCATGTTTCTCTTTTCCACCTACATTCCTTAAACTTACTAGATTGGGACATATGTCATCATGTCCACCAACTAATGTAATTCAGAGCTGCCTCTTAGTTTAGCGTTTATTTCCTCATTAAACATTTAAAATTTGTTTCTTACATCTTTGCTTTTTCCTTAAAGAAAATTCTGTTTTATAGTGGGATTTAATGGGGTCTTGGTTCAAATAACTGCTACTTACTCCACCTGAAAGACTGATGTACCATGACCCCACAAAGAAGCCACAACTTCTGCTCCTGGCAGTGGAATAGAGTTAAAGGGGCTAAATTTCTATGATATATACATACCCGCATGTCTAACCGAACTATTAAGTAATCAAATAGGTTAGTGTAGTTAGCTAACTGGGAACCTCCTAATGATTCAGACTGATGTCCAAAATTTTCCAAACTTCCTCCAGGATGAGTAAATGAATGAGTAACTGAAAAGCCAGGCTATTAAATAATGCATTGAATTTGAAAAATTATTTTCATAAGATAACCCTTCATTATTTGTGGTTCTTTGGGCAATTTTCTTTATGTAAACTCTTTAACTCAAATAAAAATTATAATAGTAGTTATATTTTATGAGAAGAGTGCCTATTTTGTCATCAAAGAGTATCCTAATGAGGAAAAGTAATATGTAACTATGCAATTTTAATAAATATATGTCAACAGATAGGCCACTGAAAATGATACAACTGCAATTGTAACAGCACAAACACACATATACTCAAATTACCTGAGAAATTGTGCATGTCAAAGTATCCACAATTATTCCTAAATTTTACGGTATAGTTCACTCATTGATTGCTGTGCTAAATTTTTTACTTTAAATATAAAATAGGTATTGTGAATATGTGTTGAATTTTGATCTATTAAAGACAATATGATGTTAAAGTTTGGGATATCATAAACAATTATTGTCCCTGAATAAAATATATAACAAATAGTAGGCCCAATATGCTTTTATTCAGCTAAGTTAGTAATAAATCTTATTTCTGCTTTGAAATAAAAATCTATTTCCACTTTTGTTATCCTAATATAGTTCTTTAAAGATCACTGATGAATTGTGTGATTGTAACAGAAACATAAAAGCTTGTAACTATATCACAGTGATTCAATAAAATTAGGAAAAAAAGATCATTGATGATAGAATGTTCATACATAAAATTTAGCCTGTTTTGTAAAAGGATATGTTTTTTTTATCTTAAAATCTTGAAATCTTACAAATCAAATAGAAGGTACATTCTCTCTAGTTTAACTCTTCTGAACAGGGTGACACTGCTCCTTAATTTGACGTGTTTTCAGTAGATGGGAGAAATGAGCAGCTCCCAGAGGTGTGGGGCCATGCCAGGGTAGAACAAACACTGCCCCAAAGGCATCCTTGTTTGGACCACCAAGAAGGCTTCTGTGAAAGGGTCCCCATGTGTGCATTCCAGATGCTAGCTGTGGATGGCCTTTGCTTGTTCTGTGACTCCAGGGATCTGCTTGGGCCTTGGAGGTATCAAGGGTTTGGTGAGACTTTAGACAGTGCTTAGTGAAAGAGAGGATAGCTTTGGAGAAAAAGCAAGGACTGAGGTATGAAGATCTTGTAGAGAGAGAGACATTCAAAGCCTGTACCTGGGAATTGACTAACGAGTTTGACAAAAGGCAATAAATATCTTTTTTTTCCCCTTTATTTTATTTTATTTTTTTTAAAGTTGTAGATTTACAATTTTTTGTGCTTTGGTTTCAATTATACAATGATCAGATACCCATCCCTCCACCAGTGCCCATTTTCCACCACCATGGATAATATCCCTCCCACCCCCATCCCCCCATCCCCCCTGTCTCTGTGGCAGGGCAATCCCCTGTGTTCTCTCTCTCCTTTTGGGTGTTGTGGTCTGCAAAAGAGGCATTGAGTGGCAAACATGTTCAGTCCATAGTCTACTTTCGACATGCATCTCCCCTCCTGGGAGGATCCTCCAAACATCCTTTATTTGGTGCTCCCTTCTCTATCTGAACAGCCCTTTCCTCTAGGATACCCGGCTGAAGGCAATAAATATCTTTAAGAACTCTTCTGATACAGCTTGGGATGATGATGGTCGGTGAGGGTTGAGGGGAAAATCAGGTCAAGAATGACTGAGAGGAAATAAAAGAGGATACGAGGAAATGGAAAAATATCCCCTGTTCATGGATCGGGAGAATTAACATTGTCAAAATGGCAATACTTCCCAAAGCACTGTATAAATTCAACGCAATTCCTATTAGGATACCCATGACATTCTTCAAAGAAGTGGAGCAAACACTCCTGAAATTTATATGGAACAATAAGCCCCCACGAATAGCTAAAGCAATTCTTGGGAAAAAGAAAATGGGAGGAATCAACCTCCCTAACTTCAAACTCTACTATAAGGCAGTAATAATTAAAACAGCATGGTACTGGAACAAAGGCAGAGCTGTAGACCAATGGAACAGGGTTGAATATTCTTACTCCTCCCCACCAAGCATACGAACATCTAATCTTTGATAAGGGGGTAAGAAAAGTGAAGTGGAGCAGGGAAAGCCTCTTTAACAAATTATGCTGGCAAAACTGGACGGCTACATGCAAAAAAATGGGCTCAGATCTCTGCCTAACTCCATGTACAAAAGTAAGATCTAAGTGGATTAAAGACCTCAACATCAGACCGGAATCTATAAGATACATTGAGGAAAATGTTGGCAAAACCCTTCATGACATAGAAGCTAATAGTGTCTTCAAAGATGTCACACCCCTGGCCAAGCAAGTGAAAACAGAGATAGACAAATGGGACTATCTTAAACTAAGAAGCTTCTGCACCTCCAAAGAAACAGTGACCAAAATACAAAGACAGTCTACAGAATGGGAAAGGATATTCGCCAACTACACATCTGATAAGGGGTTAATTTCAAGGATATACAAAATACTGGTTCAACTCCACAAAAAGAAAACATTCAACCCCATCAAAAAATGGGGAGATGAAATGAATAGAAACTTTGACAAAGAAGAAATCCGAATGGCTAAAAGACACATGAGAAAATGTTCCACATCATTAATCATCAGGGAGATGCAGATCAAAACCACAATGATATATCACCTCACACCACAGAGATTGGCCCATATCCACAAGAACAAAAGCAACCGGTGCTGGCGTGGATGTGGTGAGAAAGGGACACTCCTTCACTGTTGGTGAGAATGCTGACTGGTTCAGCCCTTTTGGAAAACAGTATGGATGAGTCTCAAAAAACTAGAAATTGAACTCCCATTTGACCCAGCAATACCACTCCTGGGAATATATCCCAGAGAGGAAAAAAAGTATAGCCAAAGTGACATCTGCAGTTGTCTGTTTATTGCAGCACTCTTTACAATAGCCAGAATCTGGAAAAAACCTGAGTACCCGAGAACAGATGACTGGTTAAAGAAACTTTGGTACATTTACACAATAGAGTACTATGTAGCTGTTAGAAAAGATGAAGTCATGAAATTCACATACAAATGGTACTACATGGAAAGTATCATGTTAAGTGAAATGACTCAGAAAGAAAGGGATAGACATAGAAAGATTGCATTCATCTGGGGAACATAAAGTAACAAAATAGGAAACTAACACCCAAGAATGGCAGAGATTAGTACCAGGAATTTTACTCAATGACCCGGAGGACAACCACACATGTTAGGGGAAAAGGGAGCTCAGAAAAAGAAGGGAACACCAAATAAAGGGTGTTGGGAGGATCCGCCCACGATGGGAGAGCATGCTGAAAGTAGACTATCGACCAAATATGATTGCCACTCAATGCCTCTTTTGCAAACCACAGCACTCAAAAGGAGAGAGAGGGAAATGACCTGCCACAGAGGCAGAGTGGGATGGGGGCTGGGGGGTGGAAGGGATACTGGGATCCGTGGTGGTGGGAAATGCACACTGGTGGAGGGATGGGTGTTTGATCATTGTATAATTGAAACCCAAACACAAAAATATGTAAGTCTGCAACTGTACCTCATGATGTCTCACTATTAAAAAAATTAGTTAATTAATTAAATTTAAAAAAAAGACTGAGAGGGGGCTGGAGTGATAGTACAGCAGGGAGGGTGCTTATCTTGCATGCAGCTGACCAGAGTTTGATCTCCAGAATTCCATATGTACCCCAAATCCTTCAGGAGTGATCCCTAAGAGCAGAGTCAGGAGTAACCCCTTAGCACCACCAGATATGGCCCCAAAGAAACAGAAACAATAACAAAACAAAAATGAATCATTAAGACATCTGTTTCAGGTAAGTGTACTTTAAGATGGTGACTTTTGAAAGATGAAACTGAATTCAACTTTGATAACATTATTTTATTTATTCACTAGACAACAGTTTCAAGTTCTTTAAGCCAAGTTAATCCATATTTATCATAAAGATAATGTTTCAAGAATGTCTCATGATGCACTTAAGTCTGTTTATTGAACTAATATAGGTAAATGGTAATACAGTTGGTTTTCAGTGTAATACAGGTGTCACACATTTTTCTTGTAATAGATGTTAGATATAGTCAGAGGAAATACAATACTTGAAGAATCTAGAAACATCAATTTTTGTTACTGGAATTCTCCTTAGAGATCAACAAACCCAATGCCATTTAACGGGTGTAGATACAAAGGCTAGGAGAGGCTGATATTCTCCATTCGCAAACGTTTAGGGCACTACTTGGTACTGGGCATACAAATCATGTGCCAGGCACTTACTTGGTACTGGACATATAAAATGAAAGAGAAGAAGGTACCTGTACTCAAGGAGCTCACTCAGTCTTGTGAGTGTGTAATAAGTGAAACTTAGCACATAGCCTAGCAAATACAGAGATCAGCATGCTCCGGCTGCATGCAATCCAGGCCTGAGAGCAGCTCCCAAAAGCTCAGGAGGGAGATGGCAAGGAAGGAAGGGCAGAAGGCTGGGGCAAGGAGGCTGTGAGGGGAAGCAGAGTACATTACTCCATTCAAAGAGTTCAAGTGCAAGGGAACTCTAGTCCTGCATTTCAACTGGTCTCCTCACTCTAAGTCCAGTTCTGGTTTTTGATTGCTCCCTACCTCTTTACATTGAATGATAAGGATGTTATGGTTCAGACTACAGATTAGTATTCTTACATCAAAAAAGGAAACATATCTGGTGTATTCTTACCCAGGTCTGCACAAAAATTTTCCAGACTCTTGTTTACAAAATCTTTCTGGAAAAAAGTGTTACTTTTCATTATAGCTTTCCATTTTCTCCCAAAACATTCATGTTTTTACCTATCTTCCAATTGAGTCATGTGATAAGGCTCATAAGTCTAGAATCGACCTGAACGGATCACTTAGTGAATGGCCAGGTTGGGGGAAAGGGTGCCAGAGGGAGAGAATGAGTAGTCTTCACCTTGGTGTGGGCAGTAAACCTCCCACTGTCTACAGTGACTATAAACCACCCTGACTGTGGTGACAAGTGTCCACAATGATATATTCAGGAATGTGAACAACGAAACAGTCCTGTGATGAGGCAACCCACCACTGCTGTCCGTGTACAGGGAAACACCCCAACAGGCTTGAGAAACTCGTAAGCCATGGGGTGAGCCGTGGCTTCAGTCCTGTCACCACACACTCTCCATTCTACACCCATTTGAAAATACAGCCTCTCAGTCAGCACATACATACAGGAAAAATTACAATGATGTTTGTGAAATTATGGGGTTTATTTCCAATGGAGGTTCGCCTCTCTTCCCACTTAAGTCCCTTTTGAGTGGGGTCTGCAGGCTCCAGGCGCCCCTGGCAATTGCTTCTGCATTCAGGGCTCACCAGGGGCAGTCCTCACTTGTCCATTCCGGTTGGGCTTCCTGGCATGTGCTCGGGGGTGTAAACACTGAAGGGTCTTTAATGCCCAGCTCTATGTCAAAAAACCGCGTGGAGAATATCACACTGTAATTTTTGGTGATGGTTTCCTGGACAGGATAACAATCCTTGAGTGTATAAATGCCAATCCAGGTTTCATCTATAAGAGGAAGGGAAGGTAACTTTTTAGTTTAGAAGATAGGTAAAATTCTGATGTTATTTTTATCATAGTAATATATAAAATATGCATAAATGTACTGTTGTAACCATTGTCAATACAGTTCAGTGGCAGGAGGTGCATTCAGAGGGTCTCATATAAATAATGGGACTCATAACTACCATCTGTTTCCAGAACTTATTTTTTTAGTTTTGGAGCCACACCTGGCAATGTTCTGGGGTTATTTCTGGCTCAGCACTCAGGAATCACTCCTGGCAATGCTCAGGGGACTATATAGGATGTTGGAGGTCACTCCCAGGTCAGCTGTGATCAAAGCAAGCACCTTACCCACTGTAGCATCCCTCTCATCCCCCAGAACTTTTTAACTCTTCCCAATTGAAACTCCACCTACTATTTAGTTCATTTCCTTCTCCCCATCTCCTCAGCCCTCCCAAACCACCATCTACTTTCCATTCTCTACGTAAATCTGCAGTAATCCCCGACGTTTTTCTTCCTTTAATATATTTCCTTGAAGATTCACACATGGTGTGCTGTGTGTCAGTATTAGTGTTCCTTTCAATGCTTGAATTTCACTGTATTTGTGTAACATGTTTAGTGTATCCATTTATCTGCTTATAGGTAGGTTGCTTCTACTTTCTCACTATTATAATGTCTCTGTAAACACAAATGGCTAACTATTTCTTTGAACTCTTGCTTTCATTTCTTTCTAGTATATATATATACTAGACTTTTTGTGTACAATGGTAGTTCTATATTTGATAACTTTAGTTAGTTGGGAGAGTCACTCCAGACAGAGCTAAAAGGAACCCTTGGTATTGAAACCAGACAACGCCTGTGTTTTATCACTTGAGTCACTTCCTCAACCCTTCTGTTATTTTTGGGAGGATTTCCACAGCAGATAACAACTATATTTAAACAGTCTTGCTGGGGGTGGACAAATTGGCAGCAGAACCGATATAAGATAATCAGTAAAAGAAAATACTCCCAATGATGGCAGTAGATTTGGCCATTGCAACATTCAGAAATGATGAGGCATGCAATACAAAAATTGCTTTCAAAAAAGGACCTCCCACTAACAGACCTCAAATAATCATTAAATCTCAAAGGCAAAGTGAAAGAAACTTACAGGTGGTCTTAGGAGGCTGATAGTTTCTATTTGTTTGGTTTTGGTTTTGGTTTGTTTTTGTTTTGCTTTGTGGGCCACACTCTGCACTGTCAGGGTTTACTCTCGGTTCATTGCTCACGGATCACTCCTGGTATGATATATCACTTCTGGTACCACACCCCATATGGTGCCAGGGAATCTAACTGGGGTCAGTCACATGCAAGGCAAGTGTCTTAACCCCTGTGCTATATCTGAGCCCTGTGAGCTGGGAGTTTCTAATTCAGAGCTTAGATTCTGTGCTAACCAATTTACAGGGTCCACAGGGACTTTGAAGAGGGCTAAACTTGATTAACTTTAGAAATTTCCCTAACAACGACCTTCCTTAAGGGACTCAACATCCTTTCCCCTCATGCTTCCTGAGCTGCAACACCTGGATGTGTTTTCAAACCTTACATGATCTCGCCGACTTCCTGTCCGACCACTCCTGGACAGTGATCTGCTCCTGCGGCCCTCCAATGGAGTACTGGTCCTCAAAGGTGGAGTTCTGGGGAATGTCCAGTGGGTCCCAGGGCTCTGTCAGGGTGAACTTGGAGCACTGCTTAGTTGATTGCTCAATCCGAAACATCACTCCATCATTAAAGAGCAAAATATATTCGAATAATCTGCAAGATCAAAATAGAAAAAAAAGTTCTGGACATTATTTTGTGATCATTTCTTTTATCAGCATAGAGACCAAATGCCTTGAATATAAATTACTCTTAAAAGAAGGGGGTAAATGTTTTGTTTACTAGGTAGTTGTTTACTTATATGAGAAAAAAAGAGAATTCAGATACCTAACGTTAAGATTCACTGGATTTCTTAGTGCATGCCATTCTCTGATTTGGTGACAGGGAACTAAAGAATACAGGACCCTTGATTGACAGTTGGTTTGTGAGCCATCATTTAGCTACAGGTTTGCTTGCCATTCTTATAGTACCAGGTCTGGGAACTGCAGGGGAATACTAAAGGCAGAAGATTAAGAACCCCCATGAGAAGGAGACAGGAATCATCTCCCACCGTATCCATTGTCACCAGAGGGACTCTAGTGGGAAGAAGTGCACTGTGGGAGGGAGATCCTCACATGGCAGGGCTTGAGCAGAACACAAAGCAATTGCTTCCTTTAGCTGAGAATTCCCAAAAGCTCTCAGCCTGTGCCCATGTGTGGAATGAGCTGGAGGTGCCCTCAGACTGGGTGTGGGAGTCACTGAGCAACCCACCAGCATTTCGCATGTTGGGTTGTTTGCAACCCTGCCCTGGGTGTTTGATAAAGCCGCATGGTTTCAGGCAGTATGCTGAGTTTCCTTGTGTTTGTCCATCAGCCTGACACAGGTCACTGCTGCTGACACAGCAGAGTGACGGTGCAGGCCCTAACTCAGAAAGTAAAATCTGCAACATCAGAGAACAGAAGAACCTAGAAGGGTCCCTTTTATCAGCAATGAAGACAGTCAAGATGCAAACCTTAGTCTGAGAGGCTCACCAGCCACCCCCACCTCCCACAGCCTGAACTCCATCCAAGTTTGAACTAAAGATTTACTTTCTTAAGAGGAACTATCATTAATAACCACTCTGGGTTGAAAATAGCACAACTGTTAGCATTGTGTTTTAGTTTTCCGGAAACTAATACAGAACCATCAATACCAGCACACACAAAAATCATATGTCAATCTAATATACTATTCTGGAAAATATTTAAAATGACCTGCAAGGGCAAAATTCCAATACAGACCTTTTGAAGTGGGAAGAATATAGAATGAAAGGCAGCATCCATTCAATGATAGTACTGGAAAGGTAAGCTGGTCTTGCTTAACAAACATGCAGATTGCAGACCAATCTCTACATCCTTCGAAGGAGTTTGAGGTGAGATGGTGCCCATTTTCTCCCACGCAGTTAAATCCCAGCCATGAGAACCAGGGGCCCCGTGGAAGAAAATGTGAGCTCAGTCACATTAGCATTAGCACTCAAACAGATCATAAACACGGGGATCTTTGTCCACTTACAAGTCCTGCTCCTGACCCTTTTCATGCAACGTTTGCTGATGTGCTCATGGCAGACAGACCTCACCGTCATTCTAGTCCTCACTGCATAATACTCCCATATGAGGTGTTTGTTTCTGGAGAACATCCCTCAGTTCCTACATATACAGACCCAGAGAAGCGGGAGCTATCAGCCAGGGCTCTGTGTGACCTGGCCATTCAGAGGATGGACACTTGGTCCACACCAGGTTCACCCAGCTGAAGTCCAAGAAGGGTGTCACTTTGGTAATTGCTAGCATTCTCTTCTGCAACTAATTTTTTTTGCGGGGGGGGGGGGGTCATGCCCGACAATGCTCAGGGGTTACTCCTGGCTCTGCACTCAGGAATTAGATCTGGTGGTGCTTGGGGGATCATATGGGATGCTGGGGATTGAACCCAGGTCAGATGCGTGCAAGGCAAATGCCCTACCTGCTGTACTATTGCTCCAGCCCCTTCGACTGAAGTATTTTATGTAAACGCAGAAGCCACTGAAGACTACTCTCTGACATGTAAATGGAAGAAGAGCAAAAATGAAAATATTTCAACAGTTGTTTCTAGGTTGGATACACCCAGCCGTGCCTGGAAGATCCCTTCTCCCATCCCCTCCAAGTCACGGTGCTTCCTTTGTTCTAATTAGTTTTCCCTGTCTGCTTGGAACCTTGTGTGACTCACAAGTGGCATTTACTGTGAACACAGTCAGGGTCTTCGAAACTTCATCTGGAACCCAGAACAGCTGCCAGCACAGCTGCTCTGGGAAAGGCAAGAAGCCTGGGCCACTGCAGTGCCCTGCTGGGTCAGAGAAGGTGACAGAAGGAAAGGAACCTTGCCAACAGCACTGTTTCCTAAGGTCATGGCTTCCCAAGAATAGAAGTAAAACATTATTTTAAATTAGGAATTAGAGACTGGAAACAATTATCTCCAAAGATGACTAGTTGTTAATTCTGAGTGATCTGAATACAGGTAAAGTTCATGATTATGTTTTCTTTCAAATGTACTTTTCTGGGTTTTCAAAATATCTATTGTTTTAAAGGGACATCATATTATACAAATGTTATGTGAACCATGCCATAAGTAAAACAGAAAACCTGAACAAAATGGGAAAATCAAATATAATAATATATTACCACATAATTTTTCCCTCAAAATTCTATCTGGATGAGTATCCTTACTTCTCCATATAAAGCTATGAAAAGATTTACAGGTGACATAGTAGCTTGTGTGTATACATGGAAATGTTCATGGTTAAGATATCAGTTCTGGCTGGAGCAATAGTACAGCAAGTAGGGCACTTGCCTGACACAGGGATTCTATTCCTGGCATCCCTGAGCACTGCTAGAAGTGATCTCAGAGCCAGGAATAAGCCTGAGCATAGCTGGGTATGATCAGGAGAAAGAAGATTATCAACTCTCCAGGTGAATGAAAGTCAAGGGATTTAGGTGCTTGCCTTGCATGTGGCCAATTCTGATTGGCCATTGAATTCAATACCACACACAGTCCACTGAGCACTGCACGAATGATCCCTGGGCACAGGGCCAGGAGCAAGGCCTGAGCACAGATGGGTGTGGCCTTAATCACTTCACTTAATCACTTAACTTCCCGTTAGTCGTCGATTTGCTCGAGCGGGCGCCAGTAACGTCTCCATTTGTCCCTGTCGCGTGCTAGTGTTGCCCAATGGCATCTCTTCGCTCCGGGAACATGGAGGGCCTCAAACCGATCGTTCATGACCTTGACAAAGAAGTCTGACCATCTGGTAGGTGGGCGGCCACGCGGTCTTTTGACATCCCGTGGAATCCAATCAGTAACAGCTCTAGTCCAACGGTCGTCTTTAAATCTCATTACGTGACCAGCCCATCTGATTTTCGACACCTTGGCAAATGAGACAGCGTCCCTGATCCTTGATCGTTGACGGATGTCAGAACTCCGGATTCGTTCTCTCATTTGAGTGAAACGTGATATTCCAAGCATAGCTCTTTCTATTCTTCTTTGGGAGACCTGAATGGCGTTCTCATCTTGTTTGCATAGGGCCCAGGTCTCTGAGGCATATGTTAATGCAGGAAGAACAGTGGAATCAAAGAGATGTGCCCGGAGCCGGAGGTTCTTCGTCCTCTTAGCTATTTCTTCGACGTTCTTGAAGGCGTTCCAAGCCGCTCTCTTCCTCCTGCGCAGCTCGGGTGCCAGGTCATTTGTCATGTTGACCTCTCGACCTAGGTACACATAGCTGTTGCATTCGGAGATGGTCGTTCCATTGAGAGCGAATGGGGCGTCAGGAACAAGGCTATGAGACCAGTTGTAGTTACTGGTTTTGGCATATCGAATACACAGCGGATAGCTTGCCAGGCTCTTCCGGTGGCCTTAATACCAAACAAAAAATTAGAAAAAGATATCATTTCTCAGTGTAAATAGGATAGAGGCCTGGAGTCCAGGAGAATAAGGTCAAAACCTAGAGATCAGCCAGGGTTGAAATGAGTCACTGGCCTGAGATGCTCTGTCGGTAATAACCTATAGATGAGAGGATTGATGGAGCCAACAAAAAACGGATCCAGGTCAGATCAAAGCCTGGCTCTGAATCAAAGGAAGCTGTGTGGACAGGAGTCCACACTCTACAGTTAAGGGTATGGATAGGCAAGTGAGGGGCCTGAAGAACATGAAGGACAAGAGGGGCAGGCCCGCCCGGAGTCAGCATCAACTTGCCATTTCCATGGCGTCTCTGGCCAGACACCAAGCAAAGCATAGTGCCAGGAGGAGGCAGCCCCAGTGCAATCAGCAGAGCAGAGCTGGTTCCTGGCAGGGAGATCTCAATTAACTTTTTATGTTGTTTCCTGAAAACTTAAGTTCTGAAGCAGGGAAAATAACTGCAAGATTTTTTTTTCATGACACCATAACCATGCCGCCGGACCCTGCATCAGGCTGTTTCACTCTGGGAGCCCCAGAGGAGGCCGGGTGAGGCCCCTCCATACACCAAGGGACCCAGCCCCAGCAGCCCAAAACCTCCAGAACTCAACCACAGCTATGCTCATGGCCACTAGTTCCACACGCTCAGGACAAGCCTCACCTATGAGTGAACCTAATCCTGCACTGCGCAGCTGCAACACTTCATAGGACACACCCTACCCATACTCCAAGAGTATCGCGCCACATTTGATGGGGTTCAAAGTAGGAGGCAACCAATCTTAGAGGGAAATATAGCACAGCAGGTAGGGCGTGCACATGGCTGACCCGGGTTCGATTCCTCCATCCCTCTTGGAGAGCCCGGCAAGCTACCGAGAGTATCCCACCTGCACGGCGGAGTTTGGCAAGCAACCCATGAGTACTCTATATGCCAAAAACAGTAACAACAACTCTTACAATGGAGACATTAGTGGTGCCTGCTCGAGCAAATCCATGAATAACGGGAGAGCAGTCCTACAGTGAATATATGTAAAAACACACAAGACTCAACCTTTAACAACATGGTAGTGATCTCTTGTAGCACTGTAGCACTGTCCTCCTGTTGCTCCTTGATTTGCTCGAGCGGGCCCAGTAACATCTCCATTATGAGACTTTTTGTTACTGTATTAGGCATATCAAATACATCACGGGTAGCTTGCCAGGCCTTGCTGTGCAGGCGAGAT